GTGGCAAAAGATGTGATAAGAGAAAATGTGTGGTGCAGGAAAAGAAAGACAAAGACAGAGCAGAACATACGAGAGGAAGACATTTCCAGATAAATACTGTAAATAACCCCAGGAGATGCAGATACAGATAAACTGCAGGGGGCAAAAGTCCTGTCTTAACAGATAAGATATAGCCAGGACAAATTTCAGAAGCTTATGTTATGCATTTTTTTTCCCACCAGAGACGACCCGTCATGATAAAAATCATTTTAAAGTGATGCATGCCCAACAAAGCCAAGTATAGTGCCCTGATGTGCTGGCCAGCTGAGCTATAAAGATAGAAAATGCTATATAATAAATGTCCCCTTTGAGGGTTGCATTGCCTGAACCAATGCAAGTAAAACTCTTTCTGTTTGCTTCAGGGGGGATTGGTTTAACAAGGAGGGATGCTCTTGGCAGAAGCTTTCATGCTGCTAAGAAGGCAGCGGCATTTGCTTATTTCTCTATCGTTTGGTGTTAAGAGCATGATGTTTTGATACAAACTGAAAAACAACATGTTTCAATGTTGCTGATAAATATTTAGCAAGTAATATAAGTTACAAAAATGTAAATGCATTTCCATCTCTTTTCATTCATCTGCTTTTTTTGCTCACTCCTTTCTTTCTAGTATGGCCAGTGATGTGAACGTAAACGCAGCTTTGTGGTTACACTATAATATGCTTAAAATCTTGTTTAGGTGATTCATGAGGAAAGAACACGGACATGACATTGAGTTGGTGTTCCTGTGTAATAGATGTGATTCACCCAGACGTCACTCTTCAGCTTAAAATACCATCAAGACTCCTCTGCTTCAAATGCCAGCATTTTTCATTTCATGGGGTGGAAATGAATCATGTTGCATTGTATAAAAAGTTAAGTCACAGTTAGAAGGTATACTGTGGCAGTTCCTGATGTAAAAGAAGTCAAGGTCTTGTTTGACAGTCAGCGACCCTAAAAAGTCCAAATCTATCTAACAAGCACCTGTCCTTGCACTAGTATCACCTTGCCTTTTGTTGTTCAAGCTTCTCCGGAACAACTTTTGTTTCTATATTGAAAGCGAAGAAAGCTTTTGTAAAAGTTACACTGTCTGATTATTTACTTAAACTAAAGAAACTTGAAGAGTCTGCTCAGGCTTCATGAGCTATGCTCCATACAAATAATTGTAAGGGTGTTTTCACAGTCACATTCTTCTTGTAAGAACACTTAAAAATTCTAATGTATGTTACTCTATACATACAAGTCGTATTAATTGTGAGATGTACAAAAGTAAAAGTACTTGATGCAGAAAAAAATGTGAAGGATTTAATTAACTTTTGTATAGGTATATGTCATATGTCATGTTTAATAAGTTATTTGTATGTCTCGCATTGAAATCACAATCTGTTAAGTATATTGACTAGGAAAAAGAAAAACTAACAATATTGCTTCTTTACTATAATTCAAAGGAGAAAAAATATTAAGACACACAATAAAGTTCAAGTGCCTTAAAATTGTGTTTAAGTACCTACCTGTGTAAATGTATTTCATTACATTCCAGCACTAAAAAAGACTTTAATGGGTGGCACAAATATTTAATCGCAAACAATTACATATATCAATATATCCGTTTGGAAAAGCCCCTAAATGAAGATATTTGAACTCAAACACATTACATTATTGTGGAACATTTGTAAAGCATTGAATAAAAATATTTGAAATATTAGTCTAAAATATGGCCATAACAGATCAATAAATTATTTTCTGTTTTTTAACACGTTTCTTTTTTAAATTAATCTAAATGAATGTGTTAAATTTGACAGCATTTAACACCAAACTGGGATGGCAGCTGGGGTGGTCACACATTTTTTAGGGATGGCAGCTACCACACTATGCCACCCCTCTCTATCTGCTCCGAGTTCATCAACATCATCACAGGCAAAGCATTTATGTGGGTGTGTCAGTTCTCCCACTGCAAACTGGTCTGATTAGACCACACTCCATATTGTGGTCTATGGGACTTCAACCAGCGACCCTCCGGTTCCCAGGCCTAGTTTCTACACACTGAGCTACTGCCGCCCAATTAAAGTCAATAGCCAATATTTCATTAATAAGTGGAGCCAATCAGGATCAAGCCCAGTTGTAATGAGTACCCTGGAGTTCTGATTATGTGAGTGGAGCGGCAGCTATTTCCACTCCACAGCCAGTGTAGTCTCTCCACTCTGGGCTTTTTCTGCTTACTGCTCCCGGCCTGCTTCCTGTTCATGCATGAGAGAACATGGTCCATCACATCCCTTAAAAGGAGTTACATGGAAAAATCCACATGTACACTCAGCGCACTTACTGTATCTTAACCTGTTTGTTGTAGCATGTTTTTTACACTAGTGGGATAGATTGATGTCGGAGTGACCTTAGAGTGAAATAGAGCATCTCTGGCTTTAAAGAAGAAACTTTCTGCTGCAGGAAAAAATGTGAAAAACTACTTATCCAACTCCACTCAGCAGACATGCCTTGCCAGTATTAGTCTAAAACTGTCTGTAACTTCAGATTCCAACAATAAAAGACACTAAAATCCTCCCCATGTCTCGACTTAACACGAAATATTAACTCTTCTAATATGTGACCTTTTACTAAAATGTGACATTTCACTTTTAACACGCAACACCCTCTATGCTGTCAAGAGCATGTCACTTCCACTGTGCACAATGAGGAAAAAGACACACTCCCCAGGTAGCTTAACATCTACAAGCTGCAGTGAAGACACTGACCTTCAGATGGACTAGTTGAGCTGTCAGTTTGACTTAACGGCAGTTAAAGACATAGGAAAGTAGACAAGGTGGTGGAAAGGGGAATTTTCCAGTGAGCAAGGTGACACAAAAGAGATATTTCGGAAAAGGTCACATCATTTACATCATTAACTCCTGAAGGCATATGGAAGAGGTGTGCATCTATTTGCACAGAATGGATGCCAGGCATTCTTTCTTGCGCACAAACATATCCATTCCAGTGGACAAGTGTGTGTGGGTGTGTTTTTCTGTGTGTGGGTGCAAGTGTGTGCGTCTTCTCCGGTATCTGACACTCTCAGACAGCCAGTAGCATGGCTCAGTGAGAGAGATGGCGTAATCACTGGACCGTGGTCTGTCTTATCCTGTCACACACACACACACACAGGCATACACACAAAAACACACTCTAGACAGACACTGAGGCCACCAAGATAATATACCTCCCCGGTTCTGGTGTTACACCATTAAATTGGGATTTTTTTATAAACTAACCAAGGGTAAAATATAATCGTACATTTAAGCCAGTAAATCATAGCTACAGAAATCCTAAAGTGCCTGGAAAAGGAAAAGGTGGTTTTCTTCTTGGCAAATGAAAACTTCTTTAGCAGTTCAACATCTTGCAGTTAACTTGATTTTATGATTTGTTCCATGCCTCTCACTTTGTGGTCGTGTGTCATTAGGTTTCAGGTTTTGTCAACAGAACTGTGAATTTAAGCATCATGTCCTTGTTAACATATCAGCCTAGTTCAACGTGTATAAAAGGATGTAGTGTAGCGCGATGTTACAGCACAGCAAATCCTCTCAGGGAGCAGGCCGAGCTAGATCGATGAGTCAACAAAGAATGTGGCTTTGACAGTCTGACTCTCTGTTCCCCTTTTAAAAGAACTTGGCAACCACAAACTCTCAGTAACTTTAACCAAATAATTCTTATTTTAAACAAGACTACGATTGTTTCTGTAATTTTAACCAAGTAATTTTTAATGACAAAATGTGATCTTCCTGTAGCATTAGTGGAGTAGTTGACTAAACAATCTAAACTTGAGGTCTACTTACTTGCATGCTCAGGAGTTTTTGAGCATATCACATGGTCCTCATTAGGAATCATCGGATTACCATGGAACTGATGGAACTGAAATATGTTTCTAAGGTCAAACATGAACTGTCTGGGCGCCTGGTTAGCTCACCTGGTAGAGCTGGCACCCCATGTATCGAGGGTGAGTCCTTTCTGTAGCGGCCCCGTGTTTGAATCTGACCTGTGGCCCTTTGCTGCGTGTCATCCCCTCTCTTTCTCGCCTTTCCTGTCACTCTTCAGCTGTCACAGGCCCACTGAATGACAAAGTGTGAAAACTGGTGAGAAGTAATTAATTCCAAATCCAGTGTCAACATATTGTTGACATCTCAGGCCATTCATCACTGTAAATGGATGGTTCGTTAATTGTGAATGTTTTCAGCATGCACTTCTTAAAACTAAAAGAAACGAAACAACTTCAGATCAAATTGGGCTGTATGTGGCACTTGAAATAAAATAAATTTGACACCACTCCTGAAGAGAATACTGCCTAAGAATGCTTAAAGTAGGTTTAAGCATTCTTGAAGTAAACGTCTTTATATCATAAGCAAGAAAGACATTTCAAGCTTTAAATTACTGTAGTAAATTGGAAGAGCAAATATAAACATAAAATGTTACATTTTTAGACTTTTCAGTCGACCACTTAAAAGTAAATGTTTTTTACAGGAAGGATGAAACTAATTATTGACAAATAATAATTCTCCCTATTCATACATTTCGTCACTAGTGGGCAACAGATGTAAACAGACATCGCTGTGCTCTGTCCATGTTTCTGAAACAACTGTCACTATGTCAAGTCTGCAAGGGTGCATATATGTAACCAATGCTACAATCACAGTTTGAACTTTCTAAAATTTTTAATATATAAAGCAAAATGTTTTCCCAAAGATATTTCTACTCCTGGATGTGTTAAACTATTATCCACAGTTTCTTTCAGTTATTTCCATACACTTGCAAGAAAGGAAATGCAAATAATATACTTTGTCCTCCCACAGGTCAACTTAAATTATGAAACGACAAAAGATGATTTTTCCTCCTCTAACTCTTCTGCTATCCTCTTTCCCTCTCATTCTCCTTCCACCACTCTCCTCCCCATATCACCCGCTTTTCCTCTGCCATTTCTTTATTCTCTTTCTCCTCATTCCCCTCAGATTTCTATCCAACACATCATTTGAGGGCCAGAGCGGTTTTATATCAAGAGACAGTCACAGCCAGAATGTCATCTCTGAGGCCCATCACTACATCTGGTCCCTCCAGCTGGACCCCCTAGGCCAGCCAACCTGGACCCGCCTGGGACGCTGGCGCAGGGGGAAAGTTCTGATGGACCAGGGGGCCTGGCCAAGCCATCAAGGTTCTGGGGTTGGAGGTGACTGGCGCCGATCCACACGACTGCACATGAGGGTAGTGACACTGGTGGAGCACCCGTTTGTATTTACCCGTGAGGTGGATGGGGATGGGTTGTGTCCCGCAGGCCAGTTGTGCCTCGACCCGCTCACCAATGACTCCTCGGTTTTGGAACGACTTTTCCAGAACCTTGCAGGACACAACATATCAGTTCCCACAGAGCACAAAAAGTGTTGTTATGGTTACTGCATTGACCTGCTGGAGAAGCTGGCAGAGGACATGGGCTTCACTTTTGATCTCTATATTGTAGGTGATGGGAAGTATGGGGGCTTCAAGAATGGTCGCTGGACAGGACTGGTGGGTGATCTGCTCAGTGGCGCTGCCCACCTGGCAGTGACATCTTTTAGCATTAATTCAGCCAGAAGCCAAGTCATTGACTTCACCTCGCCCTTCTTCTCCACCAGCCTGGGAATTCTGGTCAGTACTTATTTTGTTTTTTTGTACAGATTCTGTTTTTCTTCTGTTTTGTCATATAATCCACTTCTGTTACTCTTGGGCGCTCCTTCTCTGTCATTGACCTCACCTAAACTCTCTCCGCTTGGTATGCTGGTGGTCAGTATCACTATGGCAGAGTTTTATTACTGCAAGCCCTACCTCACTGGATTTTAATGCAGTTCCTCATATGGGGTTGGACTGAGTGTACAGCTTTGTGGAGTGACCCTATTATTACAATTACTAGTCTCACCATCTGACAGGCATAGTGATGGTGGTAAACATTTTCTCCTCTCTCCTCTTAAGATATTCTGCTTTATTTACTGTGGCTTCTATATTTTCCCCCAGTCTCTCTCCCATATAACAGTGTCACAAACCAGTAGATTTGCATTTGATAACAGTACACTTTTGGATTATGAGTCACATTTTTGTCCAATTAATGGCAGCCTAGGGAGTTTGTGGCTTCCCTGAGCGAGTGAACTGTTTTCATTATAGTATCCCATCTCGCTTCTTCTTTTTTGTAAGTCTCCTGATCCTGTTTCAGCTTCTAGCTAAAATTGGTGAAAGAAATCACAAATGTAATCGGTTACTGAATTTCTGATGAGCAAATAACAAAACACCTTAGCCCAATGCTGAAACAGCTGCCACACTTGTTTTTGATTTCCCAGTCCTAACCCTTTATCCCCATTACATATAAGAAAAAGATTTGCTTTCAGACACTCATGTTGGGGACTTATTCCAAACAGCCTGTAAAAATTGAGACCAATAAATGGCACTTTTATTATATCAGTTATAAAAGTTTTCTAATCCTGTGTCCACCCATTACCCAGGTTCGTACTCGTGACACAGCTGCACCCATCGGTGCCTTCATGTGGCCTCTTCACTGGTCCATGTGGCTCGGCATCTTCGTCTCCCTCCATGTCACTGCTGTCTTTCTCACCCTGTATGAGTGGCACAGCCCCTTTGGCATGACGCCACGTGGACGCAACCGCGACCGGGTGTTCTCCTTCTCCTCAGCACTCAATGTGTGCTACGCTATTCTCTTTGGAAGAACGGTGGCCATCAAGCCACCGAAGTGTTGGACAGGCCGCCTGCTGATGAACCTCTGGGCCATCTTCTGTCTGTTCTGTTTGTCAACCTACACTGCTAATCTAGCTGCTGTCATGGTTGGGGAGAAGACCTATGAACAACTGTCAGGGATACATGACCCAAAGGTACAAAAGTCTAAAGTTGATAGATTCTAAATTGATCTACTCTTTTTTCTCAAAGTTAGAACAATTTTGGTTATTTCACATAAGAGAAATCATTCCTTCCTTTTCTCACTGGTTTTAAGTGGGTGGGTCACATGCATCCTCAGACCATTCAGGATTCAGAAACACTTGAATCAGAAACTGATTGACAGTTGTTTGGTTGTTGAGTCACTGTCAGTCAAATCAGATCAAACCACACACACACATTCCTGATAGCAGAGTTTGTTCTTTTGGGGTAGGCAGCTTTTTTTGCATCACTGGGGAGACAAATCCATAATAACTTTTCAGCATATTGTAATTCAAGTGGTCTGAGAGAAAACTTCAGACTCCTGCACCTCCTCTTGGCTCTGTTTTCAGACTATACAATATACATTTTCTTTCCATTTTTTTCCTCTTTATCAATTTATTATGATGAAAAAATGGCTCTTGTGGAATTTCTCTTCAAAAATGTCCCTGATGATCACTTAACAAGGCTGCAGACCACAAGGTTAGGTATCTGTTCTAAATTTTGGAAAGGGGCCCTTCTTGTATAGAGTACAGTCTTTTAAATTTTAAGTCAGCAACTATATTCTTTAATTAAACCAAGGTAAGGTAATTAATTCCTTTTGTCAACTCACCAACTCTCTGAATCACAGGAGTGCAGGGATATTAAGATTCGGTTCCAGAAAATAAATTTAAAAAAGCAAATCAGTAAAAAGTTTCAAACTTTCCCAAAAAGAATCCAATGGAGGAAAAGAGAAACTAAACTAAACTTTAAAATAAAAAACGTCGATATTAATCAATATTACTGCTTTTTGAAGTCATTGTAAGGGTAACATCTCAATTTATTTCTTCTTTCCTGCAGTTGCACCATCCCTCTCAGGGATTCAGATTTGCCACAGTGAGAGAAAGCAGTGCAGAGGACTACCTCAAGAAGAGTTTCCCTGAGATGCATGAGTACATGAGAAGATATAATGTCCCGGCAACACCAGATGGCATACATCAACTCAAGTAAGACAATGTTATATATACTTTAGAGTACACACATCATGCAGACACACACATAAACATTCAGGTACACACTCATAAGAAATCATGTACTGTACCAAGTCATTGCTGGTATCACTGTCATCTGTCCTCTAATATTCAGTAACTACCGACCCAGTTATCTCTTGCTGTCATCATTCCCTGAAAATCAACTCCTTTCTGGTTACACAAATGCAAAAAAAAAGGAATCTTGCATGTCCAAGGAAAGTCAAAAATCTGAAGGAAAAAAAATTCTGTTATTCCCCACCACAATCCTGCCTGTTTGCATTCAGATCCCACCCTCCTCCTTACCCTGCCCTTGCTGTCATCCTAAGCTGCTTCAACATTCAACCAGCATCCCTGTGGAGCAAAGCAGAATATAGTGAGAAAAGGCAGCTGGAATGAAGGCCTAGGCTGGGTAGGACACTGAGTGGATGAAACAAGATTTTTCTTTTTTTTACTGAGCTTGTAAAACGCTGATTAGAGGGTTCAAGGGAAAATGTCATCTTTAGAAAATTACAACTGGGGAACAAGACAGCATACAACTGCATGCAACTATGAACACTCAGGGCTCAGGGTTTACTCCCCAAGGGACCAGGCATTAGTTATCAGTTACAGAATCATATAGTATTCCATGTGTGCACTGGACTATCATGTTATAGTATAATGCAGCTACTGTACAGTGCATTGACAGCAGTAGCCCCATGTGAAGATTAAATTCCACATGCATTGGATTTTGGGATTTCTACAGTTACCTTTATCCATAGAACAGGTATTAAAGATGCTGTTTAGGTTAAAGTTATTTCACAGATTGAAGAAACAAAGCCTGCAACTTTAGCAAATACATGTATTTTAAAATCACCTTTTATTTTTTTAGTTTAAGTTTTATAAGGAAACTGTGAATTTTTGTTTTATGCCTTTATCATGAGACCACAAATTAATTATTTGAGAAAACAAGTTTGGTTATCTCAAGATACCAAGATAATCAACCAATTATCATGGATGCATGGTAATTAATAGCTAAAAATAAATCAGATGTACATTCTCGTAGCAACTCTTTTCAGTCCAGTCCTGAATCCTGCCCAACAGTTACGGTGGTGATCTTGAAGGTTGCAGTTGGGTGTAATAAAATGAACCAGACACTCATTTTTGAGTTCTCCATAATTATTCCGTGATTTGCTTTATCATGATAAATTATCTTGTTATCTTGAGAAATTGGCCTTTTGCATTAAATAATTATTGCAATTGAGGCTGTTCACAGCTTCTATAGTTTTGATTGCCACATGGAGTAAGGACAGTTGATGTTTTTTTACTTTTTAATTTTCATAATTTTGGATCATCATGACCATGATCATATTTGAGTAGTCGTTAGTTAAAGCCATTAGTCAACTAGTTGTTAAATGTGAACAGCAAACACTGTAATGATTCTGAGAATGTGACTGATTGTGAAGGATTTTGAAGGAGACTGAATATGTAGTTTTTGTTTGAATAAATTATTTCCAACTACACAAAAAACAAACTTTAACAGTTAACAGTTACTTAGTTACAAATAAATTACAAATCATTACAAACTCACTCCTGTCCCTGCCTGAACACACCATGTCTTTGTCCTACCCAGAGTCAGAGTCCGGGCTTGAGCCGGCTCCAGTTCTCATGCTCATTCTCCTGTGCTAGTAGTGTAAACAAACTGTTCTTTGACCTCCCAGTTACTATTACAAGAGCAAAGGTCCATGTTGTAACAATCCCCTAATACTTTAGTCCCCGAACAAGCTCCCAAGTTAGACATTGTTGTTTTTTTCTGCAACTATCTGTCTTAAGAAAAGTGCTTCCTAATATTTTGTATCAAGTTTTTTTGTTTGTTTTTGTTTTGTTGTGATAGATATAATATTTCCTTAACCCTGTTTGCTATAAAACCATTTCTTGTGTACATGTACTGAAATTTAGAGGTCTATTTGCGGTTGTCTTATTTCTCATCCCTGCACACTATGCACCCATGACAGTATGTGTTTTTGTCAATGGTGTTTTTACCAGTGTTTCAGCTTAATGAACATGTCTCACCACAGCAACTGAAAAACAACTACTAACTGCCGCCTGTCTGCTATATAACGAGACCATTTTGAGAAAGTGCACTGACTGGAGCATCAGACAACTGCCATTATGCTATTTTGGCTTGCTTATTAAAGTGGCAAATATGCTTTTGTGTGCCTTAATACAGTCTCGCATAACACAAGCTTACACTTGTAATAAAACAATGTATTATTCGAGAGTATTTTAAACCTGGGTGGTAACATAACTTACCTCAGGGCTTTTCAAGAATATTTTTCCCTGGTTGACCTCAGTGATTCAACTTTAACAGAACTGCTGTGTCTCACATCGCCTTGTATTAAATAAAGCCACAATGCAGAAACTTGTCCTGTCACTAGCAGCATTTTCCATTCTTGCCATCTGGATGCAAAAATATGATTCAGCTACTTTTACAGACATCAGGAGGAGGATAATGCAGAAAAAACAGCATCATGTTTTAATCATAATGTGTAGGTAACTAGTTGAGGTTGAGGAAGTGCACCGGTCATAAAATACATAACATCAATAGCATACTATGGGGGGGAGGACAATGACATAAGCTGCAACCAGGCTGCAACCTAATTCAACCTGTAATAATAAACAGCCAGCTTGTGCAGAGTAGATAGCGGAGGATTTCAAACACTGTCCTTGATAACAAGGAGAAAAATATAGAGAATATCTTGAAAAGGCTTTGTGGTATTTGTATCCCAGCAGGCGTTGGCTGTCAGTAAAGACATTTTGAGTTTATTTGCAAAAGCCTCACGGAGAGCATTTGCGATTTAATATCTCACCTCCGTATAAATGACTTGGAGTGAGGAATGCGAGTAAATTGGCAGAAACTGTAATTTTACTGGCATGGTGCCAGGAAGAGTATTGGAAAACCACGGGCAAGAACAGCCTGAGAAATATGCGGTTCAGACGAGGCAAAGAGGTTGTGAGAAGTTTGTTGAATCATTTACATCCCATTTTCAGTGATTGCGGTAAGCTGCCCTCTGAAAGGCTTTATAAAATACCCACAAGCACAAAGCAAAACAATTCATTCTCCCATGATTTTTATTTATTCATTTTAGTTTTTTCACTACTTATTGTTGTGTTAAGTATGTCTACAATATGAGTAAGATTGTATGCTTTATCATGAGACAATCATTGGACCTTTGTTTTGAATGTCAAACACAAAACAAACGCTCACAAGTTCTTTCAGTCTATTCAACTTTACCGTACCCATAAAATGAAGTGAAAGCATGAAGTTTACATCTATGACCTACCAAAACAGACAAATCAACCTCTTTACACTCTTTATGTAAGGTCAGAGTTGTAACATGAGGACAGAAAGAGAGAAAATACGACTCATAGCAGCAGAGCAGGAGTGAGATGACAGAGTAAGGTTAATTTAAGTTTATGTCTCAGGAGATGTTAATCATGTGAAATTTAGAGTTTTGTTAGTGCTATGGTTATATTAGTTACCACAATGAATTAAGAAGAGTGACTATGTCTCAGTTCATCTATCTGTCTGTCCAGTCATCCATCAAAGCATTTCAAATATCACTGATCAGATTCTCATAAATCCTAAAGGCACAATTAACACTCTGCTCCAGCATAATTGTGTGAACATCACACACAATGCCATATATTTGTGATCATATTTTGTGCAATGATTTACTTGATTCTACACTGTTTATTTTGAGAGTGTGCATAATTTGTGTGCACTGAAATGTTTAATTAGTACAACATGTTGTGTTTATGCTGTATAGTTCAGTAAGTATTAAAGCTGAGCTCTCACCATATCAGTCAAGATTCTGTCATTGCACTTCAGCTGTAAACAGAAAAGAATTTGGGAAATCCCTACATTTGCACTTCCATGTATCTGCTTTCTGTGTGTTTACAGGGCCGACCCTCAGCGGCTGGATGCATTCATCATGGACAAAGCTCTGCTGGACTATGAGGTCTCCATAGACGCCGACTGCAAAACACTAACAGTCGGAAAACCCTTTGCTATAGAAGGTAATGCATGGAAGTTTATTATGTGACAAATTACTAAAAAATTGAACTTAATACATGTGTGGCTTTTCTATCTTAATGGATTTTTTTTTGGCTATTTAATTAAAGTTATTTATTTATCAAAAATATTTTAGATTAAATAAGTCAGTCATTGCTTGAAAACACTACTCTGGAGTGTGGCACTAGAACAGTGTTCACAAATATGTTTGGTTTTTAATTATCACTAGATTTTAAGAGGTCTTTCTGCACGACCATGAGCAGTTTTAGGACAGGCCTAAATATAACAATATCAATCACTCAACATTAACCCAGCGGTTAATCGTCTGGCTTTCAACAGCTTAGATTCTCTTCTGTCTACTGTTAATCTCTGGTCCATTTAGCAAGCTTCTTCCTCCCACTGTGAAAATGTTCCCATGATGGTTGCTTCCATTACAGGCCACCACAGTCCCAGATTCCAGCGTCGTCGTTAATTACTTAATGCACCCTTAAGCCTTCAGGATACAATACAAATCAATCAGTGTACTTCCTACCAAGGCAAGGTACTTCTGTAATTGGCCATTGCTGGATTTGTCACACTTTCCTGGCATGCTAAGAAATTCTGAGATTTACTTCCAATGTCAAGTGCCAGCTTTGTTTTAGAGTGACAGTGGTGCTTTCTGATAAGCACGAAGACATTTCTCCTTTCTTTCCATTCTGTGCAGTTATTTCCCTTATTCCTGTGCACAGCTCTAAACCAGTGACAGAATATAATGGCAGTAGATGGAGGTGAAGTGAAAATGATTTTGTTGTTGTGACAGAGGAGTAATGAGTCTGTGCTGTGTATTTCCGCTGGCAGGCTATGGGATTGGCCTCCCTCAGAACTCTCCATTCACCTCCAACATCTCAGAGCTTGTTAGTCAGTACAAGTCAGATGGCTTCATGGACACGCTGCATGACAAATGGTACAAGGTAGTCCCCTGCGGGAAGCGCAGCTTCGCTGTCACTGAGGTAGGAACAGAACCACCTGTTACACACAATAGCAGCAAATGCACTGTTTTGTATGATGGAGATATTTAAATAGATGAATTTCAAAATATTGTATCCTTCATGACCTATGGATATGGTTTAAATATAAAGGTTTGTTTAAGCTGGTCTTATACATTTTTTAACACCAAGCATACCCAATCAATATTTTTATTGTAGCAATGAATCAAATGCAATGTGTAATGGTTTGCTCATAACAAGCTTTCAGAAAATGATCACCCAACTCTGCAGTCCCAGCTCTACAGAGCGATTTAGCATCTTCCAGCACATTGTTTTAAATTTCCAGCCTGCAATCTTCTTGTTTGGTTTCATCCCACTGCTCTCATCATCCTCTTCTCCAGCTGCAGCAGACAGACAAAGTGAGAATCCACCTGGTGAAAACTGTGAATTGCTTAGTAGCAGTAAAAGCCCGATATTTCCTCTGAGGGTTAGTGGAGACCAAAAGTTACACAGACAGAAATGGGACTTTAAATGAATGCTAAAGCCTTTAATGACGCTTTAAGTAAAGCAGTTGTACAAATGATAACGTCACCATAAAGGAACAGTCTGTATCATAAAATCGAAAATAAAATAAACTATCTCTCTGGTCATTTAGATTTCATAATAGAAAATACTATAATCATATAGACAGAGCTTTCCTGCATCTTTATTAAGTGGAGTTGGTTTTTATAATTCCCTTTTCCTTACCAAGAACTCTGCTTAAAAACAATTTTTATATTTGTTCTCACAGAATACTTTCCCTGCACTGCCTCCACGTACAGTAATTGCTCCTCACTAATTCAGACCCTGGCCCCTGACCCCCCAGCTGCTAACCAAGCTGTGTCCCTGTCATAACTTCAGTCCTAAACAGTCCAGGGGCTGTGGTCCATTCTGTTCTGCTATTACAGAGCACTTAGCTCTCTTAGCAGCCTGGCCATCTCTCTGCCCAGCTGTGACTCTGGAAACCTCCAAAGTGGCTAGCTCAGTGCGGACTGCACACTCCCTACCAAGCATGAATTAAAAACTCACTTCTTCATAGAGGAATTAATGCACCCCTCTGCCCCCTCTTCTTCCTGTATTTCTACTTTTCCTTTTTATTATTTATTTTTAGCAACAGTTTGACATTTCTGTTTTCCAAGCCACATAGCCTCTACTGGTTGCTCATTATGATGTCTAACTAAGAAGCACTCCTGGTGTGTGCCTTCTGACTGACAGCAATATCTAATTCATAAATGTAAATTACCATTTTGTGACTCATATGAGTAGCAGAGGTAGTACATTTCAGTGAACAGATTCAGTGTCGGTAAAGTGAACCATTTTTCACTGTGTAACAGCTAGACGTGTTACAGATGCTATCTACCGTTGCAGACATTTAAATTGCTTGAGGCACATTTCATTTTGCAGTATCATGCCCCCACCTGCCTACTGTGACAGCAGAGAAAGCTGCTTGACCAGTATTTTACTTCATCTGTGCGTCATTTTAACTTTACATACAGCATCAGTCCAATGCCATGTAGAAAACACAATGTGGTGGCCACCTCTCCCATTATAGATATTGTTCTAAGTTATAAAGAGTGTGTATCATTTAATTAAATCAACCTAAACTGAAACTTCATGTGCCCAGAAAGTCTAGTAAAAGTAGCATGTTTTGGCAAAGTTACAATGGGCTGTCCAAAGGAACACTGGACAACATCAGCAGGAAATTCATGTGATATAAGCAATGCGAATTACTCACTAGGCTGGCTCAGTTTAGTCCTGCTCAGCATTTTTTTTTTTTTTTTTTTTAGCAATCTTTTATTCCAAAGAATGACTGCTACACCATCAGCCTCAAGCCTGGCATTCTGAAGAGATGAAAAATCTGATGGATTGGCTTCAGTGAGGCAGCCAAACTCTCTGGCATTAAGCCAGCTCGCTGTCACCCCAAAGAAGTTGATCCCATTTGAAGTAATAAAATCAATACCAATAAATGACATATTATTCAATTACCTAACATTAAGAGGGCCCCAACTTAACATTACCAAGAAATAAATTGTGATCAAAGGGACAAAGATTATGAGTGTTATGTGCTTTATTGAAGTTATTCAGAGATTTTTACAGCAAATTTATGCAATTAATCAATGAGTGTGGTGAACCAAAGGAGGTAAAAAAAAAAAAAAAACAGAATAAGAAATCATTGTTCTATATGGCTGCGCACAGTGAAATAGACAGGAAGTGTGTGTTGCCAAAACTTGGTAGAATATGTGCTTAAATGTGCTGATCCAAAGAATGTTCTCAACTGTGAGGAATTTTGGAGTGGGTTGATACACAATAACTTACACTGCTTTTTATGCACTAGAGCTAAGTATTAGATTAGATTAATGTCATGTATCCCCAGTAAGCTTGTCTTACTCGTACAGGATAATACCATAGTCATTTTATCTTTTTCCTATCCAAATGAATCCCCAGAAAGTTTAAAATGTCTTCCCCAGCAGCAGTCAGATGACACTGCTGTCTGTATTGCCAGACTTCCTGGGAATCATCAGCTTTCACTCTCCAAGATTTCATTACAGCCAGCCCGTCAAGTCACAATACAGCAATGACGAATTTAATCCATCATGTATTCTTCTTCCAACATGACTTTATAATGCAATCACTGCAGCTGCGGCTGTTCCATACTCAGCAGTAAAAAGATTCATATGAGAGTGTACATCTGCAGTAACTGCAACAGGTGCTCAATTAAGGAAAAATTGGATATCACAGTAGTCGATGGCTATACTTGCAGAGTCATGGTGCATTTGTGAGAGGTTTTTCCCCATAGTGACACATCTATAATAGAATGAGTGTATATTAAGATGTGAGGGGGGGAAACATCACAATCTTAATGAGAATTGTCTCCCACAGTGAGATGATGAGTGTGGAGAATGAGAAAGAAGTCAAAATCTCACACTGATTTAAATAAAACACATTGTTTTCCAGGAGAAGAAACTAAGAAATGGTGATTATTTTATTTCAAATGTCTAATTATCTGATACTGTACACAGGTAATTTATGAATTATTCAGTTCAAACAATATTATAATTTTTTACCACTGCTTTATGCTGTTGTTTACTTCTGACAGGAGTGAAAATAGAGTTGAAAGCAAACATCTCGCAAAACAGTCTCGTCACACAAATGTTTTACAACTTTTACAACTGCAGCTGCAATGATTTGGTGTTATAAAGTCAAGTTATGGAAATAAATACATGATGCATTAGGTTTGTCAGTGCAGCGTTTTGTCTATGTGAGCTGTTTTTAATGGAATTTTGAAAACAATGGGAACCGATGACTCCTAGGAGGTCGGCCAAACTTGGTGTAATAGAGACATTTAAGGAACTTTTGACTGTGGTGAATACATCAGTTGGTTCACATATTTCATGGGTAATAATGGCAACAACAAAAAAAATAAATAAAACAATTACACAAGTTTTATCTTAAAAGTATTAACTGAAGAAACAATTTTGCATATGCCAGCCAAACACTACTGCCACGCCTACAGCAGAAAACAACATCTGCTTGAGTAAGATAAGGATACCCAAACACATGCAGTTTTACGATTGTTCTCAATTAATTTATTCTAATACAAACATAAAACACAGAACACCAGTTAAAAAAAAGACAACAGATAGGAACAAAACACAAGAAACAGAATCAAATGTGTTATCTTAAAGACATTTACATGTCAGTGTCATTGCCATAGTCAATTCGTTGAGCTCACCATCTGCAAAAGGATGCATATTGTATGATGTGGCTTGCTTAATATACAGACCATGGGAATTTCAACTGTATTATCAATAATTAAACATAAATGTTGTAATGTGTATTCTTGTTTTATCTTGTTACATGTCTGTTTTACCACCATGCAGCACAACCTGAGGGACGTTTTATAATTTTACCTCCTAGACAGAATTTTCTTCTCCTCCAGTAGGAGCAAAACATAATGCATCCCTGATCTCGTATTCTCTGCATCTCCTTTCTGTCTCCTTTGCCTGCCTATAACCTCTCTCACTCACTCACTCCGTGTCTCTCCAGACGCTGCAGATGGGTATAAAGCATTTCTCCGGTCTGTTTGTGATGCTCTGTGTGGGCGTGGCCTTATCTCTACTGACCACAATAGCAGAACATATCGTGTACAAGCTGGTGATCCCGAGGGTGAAGGAACCGCGCTTCAAATACTGGCTGCACACTAGCCAGGTACTGAACTCACACGCAAATACGCACATATACAACACAGTAAAGCACCATTTCAATCATGAGTTGGCAAAGAACAGCATTTCAATCAGCAGAATCACATTACAATCACCACAAGTACAGAACTATTTGTATAGAAAAGTGAAGTATTTAGACGGTGATACATTTTACTATTGTTCTTCCTCTTTCTCCCTCCCCTTTCTCACTAACACACACACCTGCAAAAACACTCATAGCCTCTAAACCTCCTAATAAACAACAGATTAATCATAGAAAAACAGACAAAATGATTTACAGTAAGCATGTGATAGCTGACGTGGCGTTTGTTTTTCCAGAGATTACACCGGGCCCTCAACTCAGTCTTCACTGATGACAAACTGCCGACTGTTACCAAGCCTGAGAAAAGGTACTGTCATTGAAGGCTCAACACTGTTTCAGTTCAATCAAATAAATCCACTATACAGATACATCACATACATTCATGCTTAATGTAATGGTTTTTTTTTTTATTAATTTGATTTGAGGACATCGGTAACTGATTGAACTGAATATGAACTGTCTTGTTGTTTATGACCCATTTAGCGCATTTTGTTTTCACTTGGGACTCATTAAAACTCTTGTCGTGCAAGGACAAAAAACAGACATCAGAAACAGGCTTGCAACTGACTTAAGGCAGCTCTAAAAGTCCCCCTCCACTCAAAAATATGTATTCCTTCTTGTTCCTACAGTGGAATGTTTGAGCTTCATGGTGCAGAATGACGTATGAGTCCTGGTCTAGTATGCAATTTATACAAGTGTGATGTAGAACCTTGAATCCACCAGTGCACATACACTGAGAATGTACTTCACTGTACATCTTTAGAAAAAAAATGTATATTCATAGATTCAGACATTTTTAATGAGGTAGAAGGAGTGGATGCCCTTTTAAATATTTTTATGTCGAAATTATACTTTTTCTTGCTAAAAAATTGACTATTTGTATACAATGATCAGCCATAACATTATGTCCATCTCAGCACCCTAATGGTCATAATGTTATGCAACACCATACACAACAAACAGTGATGCACTGTGTGTTCTGACACCTTTCTATCAGAACCAGCATTAACTTTTTCAGCAGTTTCTCTCGTCTGTTGGATTAGACCGCACGGGCCAGCCTTCGCTGCCTACATGCATCAGTGAGCCTTGGTCACCCATAACCCTGTCACCAATTCACCACTTTTCCTTCCTTGGACCACTTTTGATAGGTACTGACCACTGCAGACCGGGAACACCCCACAAGAGCTGCAGGTTTGGAGATGCTCTGAACCAGTTGGCTAGCCATCATAATGTGGCCCTTGTCAAAGTCGCTCAAATCCTCACATTGCCCATTTTTCCTGCTTCTAACACTTCAGCCTTGAGGGCAAAATGTTCCTAATATATCCCACCCACTGACAGGTGCCATGATAACGAGATAATTAGTGTTATTTACTTGTCACCTGTCAGTGCTCATGATGTTTTGGCTGATCGGTGTATGTTGTAACACACAAGTGGAAATAGTGGAAAAACATATGATGATGTAAATGTGGCATTTGTTTATTTTCATGTACTAATTTTAGGAACATCACAGTCTGCTCATCACTCCACACAGGTCAGGTTTTCGTCACAATTTTTAGTCTGTTTAGTGGAAGCTTTATTGGATGTTTAAGTGACATGCTTCATTTGTGTTTGGACTCACTGTTACGTACCTCTAGCAGATGTATATGTCTATTTCCATTGCACTTTGTCCCATTTTAATTTTATTGATACGCCCACTTGTCCACCTCCACCAAGTTTAAAAAACCTTTTTTAACACTTTTTTTTATGTCCAGTCTGGACATTGCTGATAAAGGTGGTTGGAAACACATTTCATTGTTTATTGTTACTCCTCATAGAGTAGCATCAAACTAGTGCACCCTCTACAAAATGTAATATACTTCCTACCACTTCAAATCATAAAATAAAAACTATTTTATAAACAGCAACCAAACAAAGAAAATTACTTTAAGGAAGCCAAGCAGAATTATGGGTAGTCAAAAGAACATATCACATATCACATATGTCATTCACATCAAAAGCACAGATGCACTTTTGTCACAAGCCAATTTTGCAAACTCAAACGGCCCATTGGCCAAATTATCAGGCTGAGAATAAGTGACACCAATTAACATCCAAGTGGCAGTTAAGGGATCCATTTTTAATCAGGAACTAAGCAGAATGGTCAGTCTGTTGGAAGCTAATTATCAGTAAGGGAAATGGAGGAAATAATCTCGTGCTGACGTCACGAGTATTGTTTGGCACAGTGGGGGAGAGGGGGAGATTTAGTAAATTGTGAAAGCTTCTCTTTGGTCAGTTTCAGTGCCTTTTTAAATGTTGCATGTTCCAGCTTAGTTACATAAACCTTCACAGTCATTTTGACACCACCACTGCAGTGTGTGTGTGTGTGTGTGTGTGTGTGTGTGACACTGTAGCCCGTTTTATTCACATTTGATCACTGCTCACATTGCCATGTTTAATGTCACATTGGAGCTTCCTCTTTGCTATCAGATAAGCATATCTGATGTAGGGTAAGCAAAGTGGGAATCGTATCGCTCTTTTTAAAGGCTTCTAAGCGGAGATCAAAACAACCCTCAAGCTTTTGCTGAGCAAATGAGTTCTATTTTATCTTTTCTCTGTTGGAAAAATTCTGCAGTGCTCGATTTCACATCTATCCCTACTTAGCACCACACACGAAGAGGACACTCAGGTGGAGCACTCAAAGTGGGGATTAAATACACGTAATAATTATGGAGCCAAGGCCATGTGAGGGATGCCTGTGGTAATGAGGATAGATTACCTACTGCTGTATAATTACACTCATTCAATCAAGCTATTTTGCATCGTGCCTGCACGCTGTCTAGGAGTCAGACATTATAACTGTCATATTGTCAGTGTCCTGCAGACACCCGGCGTGTCAGAAATGTCTGTCTCACCTTTTATGTGTGTGAGATTTTGTGCTGTGAATGCCAGCATGATGTCGGTTCAAAGAAAATTCACCAAAAACTTTCCGTGCTACTACTGCAGTACACCATAGAGAATATAAATATGGTATATACACGGCTGATGGCTTAAAACTACCACTGAGGATGGAACCATAATGTATTTAATTTTGCTAACAGTGTTGTAGAAAAGCCCAAAGGCATCAGAGAAGTGTGTTACGAGCAGTGTCTGTGATACCCTGAAACACTCTGTGATGTCCAATTAAGATCTTTTTAGTATCAAATGCAGCGTTAAGGTGAGCTTGAAAAAAGACCTTTAACTGACATCCACACTAAAATATGATTATTGGTCACTTCTAGTAGATCAAGAATATCAGTACCAATTTAGCTAGTCGTTTGAATGGAGATTTTTTTAGTCAATATTTTTTTTAATCAATATAGCATTTACATTATATTTCTCTTCAGTTTTAAAGCAATTTTGATGTTTCATGTATTATCATATATATTATAATTATATTTTAATATATATTTTAATTTTGTGTATTAAATGTTTTGTTTGTTTGTTTATTTGTTATTCATGTAGGATAACAAATACAGTAAATCATGCAATATCTGGGATGTTCAGGTTTGTATTTTCCTCACTTCCTAGAGTTACAGTTTCCTTTTTCTGCAACCAGAGCAACTCTTCAGTGTGAAAGTGAAATAATTGGGCTGGGATTGTGCTTCCCTGTTTCACTCCTGCTGTGTAATTTTTGTATAGCACACCATCGCCACAATTTTAGAGGAGCGCAAGCACAACCGATAAGAGCCACTGTATGACAGGTGAAAACAAGAAGACCAAATTTCACATTAATGTTTTCCCCTTCCACAAGGTGGTCAAGAGGTCATTCAAAGCTGTAAAGTGCTGCAATGTGTGTCCCCACATGTGGTAGGGATTCAGTGGCTTGCTCAAGGACACTTCAGCAGGGTGCATATTTTTCTGGTGCACCTGTGTCATGCTTGTTGAAGGATAGCCTCCCTATTCACTGTACTACAACTGTGCCTATGTCTTGTTGTGACTGCTGGTAGCAGCACCTGTACTGACAGATGGGTTGTGAAATACTGGTCAGTGGTGAAATATTCCATTCTAAGGATGTAACCGCTGCAGGAAAACATGACTGTGGCTGTGTTTGAAATCACATGTAACATACAGCTTATTACTACATCAGTATTTATATTGCATACTGCCTACTAAATGAATAAAGTATGCCGACAGTTCACACTGGAGTATATTCAAACATAACGTCTTCTCTGTATCACATGGCTGTATCGATCACAACAAGCTCTGAGATAGATCTGACTTCTTCAGACCAATTACAACATTACGGTCCAAGCTACCACTGAATAAAAAATTGTTTATTACAAATGTAAATGAACATTTCCTGTTACACTCAATGTGATATTTTCCAGTATTATTTTCAGGCAAATTAAGGTAGAAAAAAGGAGGCAATCTATCTAATATCCCAGATGGAGCGGGCAGCATTAGCAGCTACTGTGGGTATATTTTCCTGAGAAGGTATAAGTTATCTTATAATGTTCACCCAAAGCAGTGCTTAACTAAACAGAATAAATATGACCATTTATAACAATTGATAGAAATGTTGCTGAAGTCGTCTGCTGTGTTGGCTGCAGTGGTCTGTGGGGCAAGAGGGGTCTGTGAGCGGACTGGCCGGCTGGCATGAAACCCCTCCAGGTTGGCTGGATCACTGGTTCTTCTGGAGGTTCTCAACTCAATTCTCCACTGACTAGCTCACGCCATACTCAGAAATTCTTGCTAATCTGGTATATATCCGGGAGTTTCTTGCATACACATAATTCACATATTATACAGTTGAAACACACTACATACCCAATTTGACGTCACAGTATGAATAGTATGTTGGTATGTGATTTCAAACACAGCCTGTTCTTTCGTCATAAGCTGCATTAGTTGACCTGTAACAGAGAAGTATCTTTGATTATAGGAGGCTGTGAATAACAGTCTTGGATTCTGTACTTGGTATATGTGCCTAAAAACTCTGTATCCACAGTAGGTTCCAAGGACATTTATAAAACCACTGCGTATGGAGAAAATCAACATTTATGAAAGCATAAATGCAGGATAGGATGTAATGAGAGGAATCTGGTGACCCTGTAAACCAGAAGTAGAGACCAGAAATCTCTGAAAACTGAGAACTGCTAATGGTGTGGGGAAGAGGGATTTGGCCTCTCTGAAGAAAAGGAACAAGGGTATCACACCTTCCGAGTTGTGAAAACTAAATTATCTCTCTGTAATTGATGAGGAAAAGAATAGGGTGACTTTTAGCTGTGTATATAGGCTCTTGGCATCTTCATATACAGAATGTATAACAAAGAGCTCTCTTCTTTTTGAGTTAGAAAAGGAGACTTCCTGTGATGTCAGTCACTGGAATATAATAATGAGCTTCACAGCTCTTATGTTTCAAACCTTAAATGTGTAATTCCTTCTTTCATATCTCACACAACAGATATGTTTTGTATAAAGTCACTGATATTTTAGGGTGAATTCCTTTTAATCATTTTGGAAAATAATGATGATGTGGAAGGGCATCCTAACATGCAGAAAAATATAATGGCTTGTATTTCAGCATGCTTTTCATCTGCACACTTACCAACACTGCGTGGTGCACAGTTTCCTTTCTGACCTTGATATCATTATTTTTTGTCGGAATCTCTTGTGACATTTTGTGTGAGAAGTGTTTTTATGTTTTCCAGTGACATTATGTGAGCTCTGTCTCAATCATCATCATGCCTATTCATACCTATAAAATATAAGATAAAATAAAAAATAAGAGATAATTAATCAATTAAAGCAAAAACAATGCACACAAAGCAAAAAAAAAAAAGTAAACTGCGATTTAAAAGCCCAATGTTTCTACATTCATTGAGTGCTAATGGCAAAAAAGCTCAGCCAACAACTGTTTTCAGTCTAGACGGTGTAACGCCTACCAGGGACCTGCGTCAGATCACCTGGCTGCTGTGAGGTAGTATAATTAGTTAGAGAACATCTGTGCTATAAAATTTAGGACACTGACACAAACAGGTAATGTCTATAAAGATGCTGAAATGGAGTGATTATCTGAAGACTTCAGGCTTAAGAGATCTGATAATGTTAACCACAAATATTCCCTCTTTCTTTGCAGCCATATGTAAGCACAGGTGCCTTCTTGTCAAAGTGTGCATTTATCATTTTAAGATGAGATTCTTTTTATGTTCCTATACTCTGATGTCGCATCCTTCAGCTTAAGGTCTCTTTAGATGTCAGGAGTATCTCATTAGATTCTTCTTGTCACTTTTTTATCAACAGCAAAATACCTTTGATTCAGATAGTTCTTAAGTTAGGCTTCAATCCGTATGATGGGAATCTCTCTTCTATACTCCTTAATTTCAGCTTGCAGATCTGGTCCAATAGATGTGGAAAAGTTTCAGAGGAAACCAAATTTTGTTCTTTTCTGAGACTATGGCAAGTCAGAGCCACCCTATAAATAACTACAGGAAACATTAGAGTTGACTGGGAGTATATTATATTGTATTGGCACTTTATATTCTGTTGTGGTTGTGTTCTTACTTTCAGTTATAGAGAGCACAGAGTGATCTCAGGAGCTTTGTATAATGCCTAAAGTTTATGTTCATAAAAAAGTTTCTTTAAGTTGATTTTTTTTAGTTTGTACCATAACTTAAAATGGATTTGTAATCTGTTTACTACTACAACATTCTTATGAATATAATTTTGTCTTAAAAATACTTCCCTTGTTTTATTTGTTTGAATAAGAATTTGGGCATTGGCATTTAATTCACTGACTCATCGAAACACCTCATAATGTTTTTTTAGCAGACTAAAAAAGTCAGTAAACAGCCGACTACAAAAAGTTCAATACCATAAAGCTGATTATGTGTTACCCAAAAGATAAACATTTCAGTAACACAATATTCAGAATCAATTAAATGCCCTGCATTGAGAAAATTTTTGTCCATAGTTTGGTGAAGCATAAAAGCAAGGACACTCGCTGGTATTTTCTCTAAACCCTAGCTGACATCAGCCTTGTGTAATATCAAATCATGTATTGGTGATACCACTTTCTCTCTGCTTTCCTCCTATCGTGTGCTGATGCTGTGAAAAAAAGGGGGAGCTATGGGTAAAGGACCAAGGTGACTTGATGTTGCAGGAGTTTTTCATGGCCACTGCAATCAAAGGGACTGATATGTCACCAAGGAGAATCATGGTTGGATGTTTGTCTGGCTTTAAAGATCCAGTGAAATAGCTTTGAGAATATTTTTTTCCCGTGGTTTCTGATGCTTCCACAGTACATGAAACATGATTATGCACAATAAATCGGTTGAAAAGAAGGCAGGACAAATGCTGTAAAATTGGCACTGATTGAGGATCACTCTCACTCTCTCGCTCCTCCATCACTCCCAAGAACAGCGTGAAGATAAAGGATTTGTCAGGTGATAATATATGACATTAGTGATGTTGAACTGACACCTCACACTGCCAACCCACGTTACTGCTGCTAGGTTTCATTAGCTTAAAGATGAAGGTAGACCTCCAGGTTGGAAACTGGGGCTTGGGGGGAATTAATTGGACATGAATTTGACGTCTACCAGGGATCCTTGACAGTCAAGTTCTTGTTATGTGTCTTAAATACCTGCATGTTGTTGGGGGATATTCATTAAAACAAATATATAATAATATAATATTATATTTCAATAATGACATGATTATGACATCCTTGGCTGCTTTACCTGCAGCATCAGATCCTCAACAACAGATGCACAATGTTTATTGGATGTGCTGTTCTTGCTCTTACTATAATGGGCATGTTATCACAAAATAGGTTGGCAACTTGACCATTAGGCCAGCTCAATACAGTGGAGTAAAACGTAAAAAAGAGAGATAAGGTCATACAGTAGAGAGAATGTCATACATGATTTTAATATGGCTTAAAATAAAGATTTGTTGCTAAATGTCATTATGGATGACAACTATTTTTATTTTTATTAATTTAACCAGGAAGTCCCTTGAGTTTGAAATCTTTTCTCAGCGGGAGACCTGGCCAAGACAGCACACCAGTTACAATTTGCATAGCCTTACATTTTTCAAATGGGACTAGATCATTAAGATGCAGTAAAAGTAAGTAAGAGAAAGCTTTTTCCCCCAGCTCAGTGAAAACACCAGGAGTAGCCTAATCCACGATCATATATACATTTAAGTGTAGAGTTAATGATCAAACCTATTCAGACTATTTCAAGTTTTTTTTTTTTTTTTTTTTTTTTGCCTTTTCATGCCTTTATTTGATAGAGACAGCTGAAGATCGACAGGAAAGGAGGGCAGAGAGAGAGGGGATGAGCAAAGGGCCGCAGGTCGGATTCAAACCCGGGCCACTGCAGCAACTCTGTAAATGGGTTGCCAGCTCTACCGACTGAGCTAACCGAGCAGCCTATTCAGACTATTTAGATATGGAAAGCGTAGGTTTCTGACTAAAACAAGACTAAGAGTAAACAGCCAGGCAAGTGGCTCTGTGGCTATACTTTTACTTATAATTGTCATTGTCAGCATGTTGTAAACAACTCTAAGAATTTTAGCATGTTAGCAAAGACAATTTGGTACTTAGCACTAAATACAGCTGAGGCTGATGGGAATATCATCGGTTTTGCAGGAATTGGGTCATAAACTAAAGTAATGGACAAATTAAAATCTGACGTAATGGTGGTGCTAAAGGATAATTATTTCTTCCAGAGGGGAATATGACAGTGTGTATCAAATTGCATAGCAATCCATCCTATATATGTCAGGATATTTCACAAAAAAACTAAAATGTGAAAATTGTGGAATCAGAAAAGTCATTAGGAGTCAATCTGTCCAATAGTTGAGACATTTCAGTCTGAACAAAAGTGGTGGACTGACTGACCAAGCAAACACATACAGATGTTGCCATCCCGAGAGCCAAGCTCTTAAAAGAAATTAATAGCAGAACAGTTCACTTCAAACACAAAAACGCATTTTTAATTTATTGGGACATTCAGGGAGAAAACTGGCACAGCCTTTTGCGAGCATTCACCCTGGTTGTTTGTTTTCCTCCAGGAATCTCGACATGAGCCTCTTCACAATAGCAGAAATAAAAATGCCACCTTACACTTTTCTGTATATCTGTCTTACCTCCAGGTGCAATGAGGGAAACAACCAGTCAGCATCTTGGAATCCTGCAGAGTCCTCCCACTGCAACAGACGCAGGGTCCTTCCACAAGAGATGCAAAATGACCTGGAACGCCCATCTTCCCAGGATCTTCCTCCTCCACCACCCCCATCTCCCCTTCCTCCCCATTCTCTTCCCCTTCTGGAGAAACACCTGCCAATAGTAACCAACTCTAACGGTCGCTCTGACCTGTTAGGGCGGGTGTTAGGCCCAGGACTGGGGCCAGGGCAGGGGGGCTCCGGGCAGGGCATAACATCAGGACAGTGCCGGGGTTTGGGTGCAGGCGACTGCGGCCCCGGTCTGGGTGTAGGTAGGAACCCGCTGGTTCAGGAGCTGTCAGAACTGGAGGGTCAAATCCTTGTAATCAAGCAGCAGCTGCAGTCAGCCATGAGGAGGAAGAGAGAGCTAGAACAGTACCAATCAGAAAACCAGCAAGCAAACCAGACTGCACCCTGTCAGCCCACTAGTCACCAGTCTAACCAGTTTGGTCAGTATACCCAGTCCCACCAGCAGACTAACCAACACACAAACACACTCCCGGAGTTTTGAAGCTTTCCTCCTTTGTTTTGCCCAGAGAAACCAGGATAGACATGGGACTAGTTTCCAAAACTTCCTGTAGGTTCTGGAAAAGGATCCTTGTATGAGGTTGTTTAAAGATTTCTGGGCGCTAAATCCTCCATTGGGCTCAGGAGTTCCACTGAACACTGGACTGAAACGTTCTCCAGGGATCAGATCCAGCTCTGTAACTCAAGGAGAATTTTATTTGACTTCTGGAACATGAGATCTACTTAGACGGGAGGCATTGGACAAAGGTAAACCAGGAACCCTGAATCAAATTTGTTTTCACTAGCTTGTTGCTGTCATTGAAGAGCTGTGCAAACCCTCCTCTTCTTAACTTCCCTTCCCCCATTTTCTTCACCTCCTTTTCGTCTCTTTCCGATCCCTTCATATTTTCCTTTTACTACCATTCCTACTCCTCTCTCCTTCCTCTGGTCCCGCTCATCCCTTCCCTTTTAAGCCTTGTCTCTTCAAGGGTACAGATTTGCTTGCCATGATGATAAGCTTTATCATAGATATGACGACTCTTTGGTATTTAAGCTTAGTGGCCTAATTCACCTGAGTCTTATGTTGAGACTCATTGAAAGTGTAAATGACCTGAAGCTGAACCCAGCCACTTAAGTATTTATGTCCTTGTGTTTTGCTGAAATCTTGTACCTTTAACAGGGAAAGAAAAGAAATACAATTTGGTGATCAGTTATGACCTAATGATTCTGGCCTTTGAAAATGCATTAGATAATTTTTTTCTAGTGCAACTTACAATGGGTTGGTGGATAAGTTATTACACTAAAGAACAAAAAAAAGATATAAAGCTTCAATAAGACACCTCTATAATCATCAAGAACATCTGGTTGGCATCTGGTGATGGATAGGACAATACAAAATGTTATTTTAGGGATCACTGTATAATGTTCTGCACTCCACCGATGCACTTCTAGTTCCTTAAAGAAAGCTGCACCTACAAGTCATCATTTAACTCGTCAGAGTTTGACTTATGGCCTGGATGTTTTTCTTCTTCATAATGGTTTTGGGGTTATAAACAACACAGGATCTGAAGAAGAAATACATTAAATGGTAACACATAAATCCAAGGGTCTTCAGCTTTTTCCGTCAGGGACCTAAAACAGGGCCTTTTACCCCGCCACTTGAGATCATATCGGTGCTCTTGTAGTCTCGTGACACAACACAGGCCTACCATTCCATTTTTGGTACAAGCCCCTTGTTAAATAGTAAACGTAAAAATGAACATAGACCACTAGTCAAACTCTGACATCTTATTTGAATATGATGATTGATCACAACTGAACACACTGAAGCAGTCCCTCTGTGATGAGACCTGTTTTCTTGCATCTTTTCTGTTTACATTTGGATGTGTTCTGTTATTAAAAACTTACCTCTCTTCTTTGCACTTAAATTCAGTTTTTTTCTTCAATCTCCCTAAAATGTTCTAATTACCTCACACATGAATATAGAATATCCATTACAAATAACAACGCAGAATATAGGACAGTAGTGCACAGATGCACCTCTACTTGGTTTTTAATAACTGTATTACGCCTCCATAACCTTGAAACTGTTAGTAATGACAGTGTTTCATTTTAACAACCTTAATGTCACCTAGCAACAAAATTAATTTACTGACAACTGACTCAAATCAAGACCGGAGTCTTGATGACTATCGTGCTACTCTCTCAAGGACTTAAGGGATGTGCTATGTGAATAGGTGATGAAGATTAATCAATGAAACCAGTGGTACAGAACAATGGCTGACATCGAGGGCACAGCGATCAAACTGTGCATTGAGGATTTATATGCTGTAATCCCCCCCCCCAAGTCGGCCATTGAGATTCACTTGCAGTTACTCATTTCCTCCCATCTAAATAGATTCCATTATGGTTTTTTAAAAAAAAAAAACAACCTGCAGCTAAATACATAACCAACCCACTCAGAGCTTTGCTGCACACCTTGAAAGGATATTTGGTTGTTGCATTATTCTTCAGTCATACTGCTGGGGGACAGCAATTTGGACAGGAAGGCATACTCAGAACAGCGAAGGATGACATTTTATAAACACATGGCATGGTCAAATACTGCCCTACACACACACACACACACAGTCACACAGTCTCACACACACACACACACACACACACACACACAGTCCCTATCTATTTAGCCAGTGTGTCTGCAGGGTAAGCGCAGGCTGTCACAGCTGAAATGAATACCTGACAGAGCAAAAGAGCAAGTGCACTGGCTGAGCCATCAGCTTTCTTTGTGTCTCTGTGTGTGTATGCCTTGCTTAGCTGTGACATAAACATCACTGAAGTCGCTGCAGTCGTAACCGGATGGATCAACAGAAAAACTAAATAACAGCCTGATTTTAGTGTATCCGTGCTCATTCTAATCACTTGTCCAGGTAGCATGTGTGGTTGGATGGCAGTGGTGTGAGGAGAAAAGGTCTGCCTCACAGGATTTGAGACTTGGTTCATGTGAAAAATAAAGTCATATTCATATTGACTTATTTTGGGGGCTTGTCTAAACATAGGTTTGCTAAAACATCATATTTTTGTCCTGACCCATTCTCAGAGGCAACAGTGTGAGAAATCAGGTGTCTCCTTTCCTCGTCTCCTATAAGAAATTTTTGATTTTTTGAAGAATAACCCTGAAGATGTACTAGTCCTCTGAGAAACTTTCAAGCATTTAAAACTCATTATCTATTTAGTGAAGTTGTCCTGGAATTATTTAATTATTTTAAGCATCATGCTTGAGTACATATTTTACGGGTGTTTTCCCCCCGAACTCAACCTCCTTCTACCTTTACTGATCAAATGTTTAGAAGTAGGGTGACTTCCAGTTAAGTTCAACTTTGTGCAGCTTTGACCAAGTGGCTGTGAACAAGCAGCCAATAGAAACAATGACACAGTATTTATAGTTATGTTTCTAGTGTGCGCCATCACCCTGTTTTGTACAATATTAATACGTAAGTTCCATAGACTTTTTACAGTTTGTGATCACTCAATGTCTTTTTTTATGAGAGGGAAAATAAAACACAAGAGAACACAGTGTTGCTACTGACTATTTAATTTGTGGACAAACCAAGAAAAAAAAAATATATGCAGCATTTTAAATAAAATGCCTTTTTTGTTCTCAAAGTAAAAGACGTTTATAACCACAATGATAATGAGTATAGTTGAAATCATGAATATCTATAAAACATCTTGAGTTCTTTCTTCATGCTGGGCGTATCTTCCAATGAGAAATGGAGTCACAACATTGCATCACAATCCACTGGTGGGTCGGGGAGGGGAAGGGGTGCCTCAAGGAGGAAAAGTGAAGCAGGAGTCATTAGCCTGGTTTCCAATAAAAGGGCTAGCCAGGCCTTAAGAAAGTCACTGAGTTTCACTCCAACGAGCATTTCTGTCTCTCTTTTTCTTTTTTCCATGTATTTTCTAACGGTGTCTTCCATTGGGATTTCAGTTTAAATATAAATGTACAGCCTTATGAGTGAAATCTTTAGGCAGATCTGGCACAGGCTAGCCCTACTAGACCCCTCTGTAGAAAAAACCCTATTAACATCACAGTGAATCAGGAAATTGGGGTGAAACACACACAGAGTGATCATTTCAACCAATCATATTTCACTTTCATTGTGACTGATAACATGGCAATGCAAGTGCCAAACCCCATTTTCTGACTCGGAGGATGTCACTGACTCTTCCTTGTCATTTCCTCCAAAGGGGATTGGGGTTGTTCCCCAAAACACCTAAAACTGATACCAAAACATATCCAGGTTTACAGCAGGCAAACAGGTCCAAATGGATCATAATAATCATACAGATTGACAAAAATCTTTACAAAATATGACCTGACATGGTCAATAAATGTACAGAAAGAGATAATAAAAAGAAGGATTCTGTCTTTTTTCCTCTGTACAAATGACAAACATCACAGAACAACAACATCAATATTTTTCCATAGCAGATTTTTCAGACTGAGGGGGATAGATGTGGTGATCGACGAGGCAAATCACCAGACAGGATGTGATGTAAAACAGAGTGAGTCAGCTGACAGGAAGTGTGCAGGTTTAACACCGTCAGGATAGGCTACAGCACTCGCTCATACAAAAATGTACAAAACACTGTCCTCTAACTACAAACAGCACACCTTGGAGGGAAAAAAATGTCCCATGTTTCAAATGGTTTCAAGTATCTGGAAAAAACAATCTGTGCTTAAGTTTGCCTTGTGATATTTTTACAACTAATGAGATCTGTGTGCCTTGGCAGGTTGATTTGAGCATAGCCCAACTAGATGAGAACCATTAGAAACATGTTGTATTTTGTCCCCTAGGTGAATTAAACAGATATATCAGGAGTGTTTTTTGTCAAGCATTCGGAGCCACGTGGCATGCGTCCTCGTCATTGTGTCTGGAAGTGCTGTGGAGACGCAAACGTGACCCGGTGCTGCCCCCTTAGTCATGTGACCTCCGTCATCGATGCCGAGTGGTTCTGAAAATGGACGTGGGAGGAGGGATGGAGTATAAGGGTTGAGAGGAATAAGAAAGAAAGTAATAAAGAAAGGAGGGAAATGTGTGGAAATGAAAAGGTAGAGGAAATTATTGTCAACCAATATTAGGAGTGCTCTGTGTGAGGTTTGTATATGTTTCTGTGCAACTGGGAAGGAGTACAGGGGTGTAGTGCAAAATGTCATGCCCGTATGTTCTTTTGAACATGTGTCATTGCTTTGTGTAAAGAGAAAGAAAGAAAGAAAGAAAGAAAGAAAGAAAGAAAGAAACCCTGTTTTTAGTTGATGAATGCAACACCCTTTGGGAATTCCAGGAAATGTAGGAAAACTACTAATTGAGGCAGGACATGAACATGAATTACAACAAATTACAGTAACAGCAAATTACAGTACAAACCAAATTACAGTAGTAGTAAACTCAAAGTATGTGAAGGGGGATTTTTTTCTAAGCTTGCGGTCTTGAGGGATCTCTGCCAATTAATGGGGAAAGATAATGTGCATCATAGAGATTAGGTTTTTGAAATGCCAGGTTAAGTGTTTTGAGGTACCTGTGCGCTGAGGGTCTCCAGAGGGCTCTCTACACGGGGGAAAGTCATCAGAGGCAGACCGCGGTAATCTTCAGTTTTCTGTTTAGCTGCTGCACTGTGGACGCCTTTGAAGTTGTTCACAACACATATACCCTGTGAAGTGTGAGGACAATTCAAAATTAATAGCAAGGTAGGTTAACAATGCCACAGTGTTCAGTGGAGCTGAAACATCAAGGATTCATTCTCAGGATGGGAAAGTTAGTTAGCTAGCTGTGACATTCTGACCTTGTGGCTGGTATTATGACATTTACAAAAGTTACAAACTTTATGTGGTTCCAACCAGGCTGGGTTGCCAAAGTATTTGTTTACTAAACTTAAAGGTCAAGTGTTTAGGATTTAGTGGCATCTAGCGGTGTACTTCCAGATTGTAACTCCCTCGCTGCACCCTCCCCTTCCAAGCACGAAGGAGGAACTATGGCAGCTACGAAACATACAAAAAATGTGAATGGCCCTATTTAGAGCCAGTGTTGGTAAAAATCATGTCTTGATACTATAAAGATTTTAATATGCAGTTGCACTGCACTGCAGGCTTTAAAACTATTAAGAGCACCATTGAGATTTAGAAATATTATTTCTTTCTATTTCAGAAACGTTAGTGTTCTAATATAAAGTTTATATGGGAGCAAAAGATCAATCAACCATTGCATGAGTCAACAAAAGCCATCCTTTGATGTAGTCAATGGAGATGCTCTGGGGTTTTCCTCTTTGTGGCGTGGCACTATGCCCAACAGGACGAATGAACTAATGCCTTGTTTCTTTATTTATATGTCTGTTAAGATTCTTGTAAATTACAGTTACTTGTAAATTCTGTTGTATTGCCCATCTGTCGGGTTCTTCTAACAGTAGACACCACCAAGGTTGCCGCATTTCTGTACTCCACCATGGACTAGTTAATCAAAGAAGGCAGCCCGAGGGAGAACCCCCAACCCTCCTCCCCCAGGCCAACCATGCCCTTAGGCAGTGGTAAAGGAGAAAATGAAGCGGGGCGATTCACTGTTGGAGGATGCTCAAGGTTTGTGGCAGGTCATGGACAGTGCTTCTTTATTGCTGCCAGACCAAGCAAATAAATGAACCTCTTCTGCTGGACAACACTCCAGTATCACCTTTTCACAAAAACATACAAAATGTCTGTAATTGAAGTTAATAAGACTGAGTCAAGGGCAAGTCAAATATGTTCAAAATTCAAACCTTTGCATTCAGCTCTACACTGACACTCCTTTCTCTCTTGTTTTCAACTGTTCTTATTTACCCATGGATTATAAGCTACAGCCACCCTGCTTGTTTCAAATATGTTTCTGTATTGTTT